ACATTAAACGACGGATGTAGTTCTAGTTTGTTATAGAATGCGATCGTCATGCAGAGATTAATTTGCTTGTCGATTTTGAATAGCTTTTATTTAAACACAGACGTGTGTTGTCGTTAATCCTAAACTTCTATTGGGTTTCTCTTGCTATATGCAGCTTCTTGCAACAGCACGGCTTCAACATCCCGCTGTTATTCCGGGACAAAGCGGGCTTGGGCTTACGAATGCCCGATCCGCAGGAGTTTACCGTGAACGATGTGCGACTGTGCGTGGGATCCAGGCGACTCCTCGACGTCATGGACGTGAACACGCAGAAGAACCTGCAGATGACCATGAAGGAGTGGCAGCAGTACTATGACAGCCCGCAGAAGGACCGCCTGCTAAACGTGATCTCACTGGAGTTCTCGCACACCCGCCTGGACAGGTTCGTTCAGAGTCCGGAGATTGTGCGGCAGATCGACTGGGTGGATGTGGTCTGGCCCAAGCAGCTGAAGGACGCCCAGCGGGAGGGCACCAACCTGCTGGGCGGCATGATGTACCCGAAGGTGCAGAAGTACTGCCTGATGTCAGTGAAGAACTGCTACACGGATTTCCACATTGACTTCGGCGGGACTTCCGTTTGGTATCACATCCTAAGAGGGAGCAAAGTATTCTGGCTAATTCCACCCACCGATCGTAACTTGCAGTTGTATGAAAAATGGGTTCTCTCTGGCAAACAGGCAGACATATTCTTCGGAGATACAGTGGAGAAATGTGCCAGAGTTTACTTAACGGCGGGAAACACCTTCTTCATACCCACCGGCTGGATACACGCGGTCTACACGCCCACCCAATCCCTCGTATTTGGCGGAAATTTCCTGCACTCTTTCGGAATAGTGAAGCAACTTAAGACCGCCAGTGTGGAGGATAGCACGAAAGTGCCCCAGAAGTTCCGGTACCCCTTCTTCACGGAGATGCTGTGGTACGTCCTCGCTCGCTATGTGCACACGCTTTTGGGCCACTCCCACCTGGAAGGTGAGGCCTCGTTGAGCGAGGATGAAATGGCTGCCCGTCCGCACACCCATCTTACGCACCACGAGCTTTTTGGACTGAAGGAGATCGTTATGTATTTGTACGATCTGCCGCCGCAGAAGAAAAATGTGCCCAGTTTGGTTCTGGATCCTGTGGCCCTCATCAAAGACGTCCGATCGTTGGTCGAGCGTCACTGCAAGGATCAGCAAGATCTCGCCATTACTGGTGTGTCCGTGCTTAAATCCCCACCAGGATCACAGCCCCCATTCTTGCTGTATGATCGCACACGGGTGAAGCAGGAGATAAAGCAGGAAATCGCACGCAAAAATGCAGAGGTAATACGGGAACAGCAGCAATTGGAGGCGGGCAGAGCCAGGGAGGCCGAGTCGGATACGTCTCAATCCACTGGAGTGGGATCTGCCATCGGAATGGGGGCTGGAGTCGAGTATAGTAACGGAGTGATGAAGAAGGAGCAACTGGAGAACGGTAGTGGAGTAGCAGTCAGCGGGCATGGATCGCAGCCAGGTGCGCTATAAAATGTTTAACTATTTTGTCCAGAAAGAGTAATACTGTTCCTATTCTTATTTTACAGAGGCCACCTTTGTCCTGCCCATTGATACGCTCAAGTATCGCCCACCCAAGAAGATGCATTTGGCCACCGCGTTGGTGGCAGCCGCTGCAAGCAGCAGCACTGGAGGAGGCGGTCCAGTTGCGGGAGTGGGAGTATCTGCGGCGGTGGGCAGCGGTCATAGTCCTACTGGTGGAGGAATGGGCCCAGGCCCAGGAGCAGGCGGCGCTATTAGTGTGATTGCCACTAGTTCCAGCTACATTGAAGGAGGACCAGCTGGAGGGATCCTCAACGTGGACAACTGTCATTCTCCAGAAGGGGGTGGCGCTAAACTGTCGCCAAATCTGACCGGTACCGGACAACCAAGACGTCGCAGGACGCGCTGCAAGAACTGTGCCGCCTGCCAGCGCTCCGACTGCGGCACCTGCCCCTTTTGTATGGATATGGTCAAGTTTGGTGGACCTGGTCGGGCCAAGCAAACGTGCATGATGCGTCAGTGTCTATCGCCCATGCTGCCGGTCACAGCGCAGTGTGTTTACTGCCATCTGGATGGCTGGCGTCAGACACCAGTCTCTCCCCAGACCAAGCAACTGGCTTCCGCCGATGGGCCCTCCGCTCTCATGGAGTGTTCCGTGTGCTACGAGATCGCTCACCCGGACTGTGCTCTCTCGCAATTAGATGGTACAGAGGATGCGGCGGACGCCAAGGGAATCGTAAATGAAGATCTGCCAAACAGCTGGGAGTGTCCTAGCTGCTGTCGCTCTGGCAAAAACTACGACTATAAGGTACGATGCTAATCAACACATGATTCCTTATTGTATGATCGCATACTAATCCAGCTTCTTCTACAGCCTCGCCATTTCCGAGCCCGTCAGAAGTCCTCCGAAGTGCGTCGCGTTTCCGTTTCCCATGGTCCAGGAGGAAATGCCGAAGGGCACGTGGATGGAACTGCTTTGCTGCCGCCCCCGGTGGGCCAGTATAATGACTTTGTCTTCACCAGTGAGTCGGAGATGGAATCGGGAACTGTCAGCGGCCATATGACACATTGGAAACACGGAATGAAGCGTCACCATCAGTTGGAGGTTAAAACGGAGCGAAATAACAGCTGCGACACCCCATCGCCCGGAATCTCACCTAATGCCATCGGTGGCGAGTCGAAAGCAGGAAAGCGACGCAAGAGCGACGATGGAACGAGTGTTAGTAGCAGCATGCACGAGAGTAATGACGCCCCGTGCGGCTCTTCGGCGGAGGGAGCTGGAGGAACGGGAACAGCAAATGTATCCACTAACCAGTGGAGTGGCAGTGGCGGCGGCGGTGGTACCCGCAAAAAGAACTCGATAAGATCACAGCTGGCCCAGCAAATGCTGAACTCGTCAACCCGGGTGCTGAAGAAACCGCAGTATGTGGTGCGGCCAGCAAGTGGAACCGGCTCCTCTTCGTCTAGTGGAAATGGAGGCAGCGCATCCGCCACCAATGGAATCAGCAATGGCAGCAATCAAAGCGGTGCAAACTCCTGTGGAGCCGGCAACGGCGAGCGAGGAACCAATAACGGAGGATTGAGCGGCTCCAACGGCTTGGGCAACCAGCACCACAGTTCATCACAAAATCTGGCCTTGGACCCTACTGTGCTTAAGATCATTTTTCGCTACCTTCCGCAGGACACGCTGGTTACCTGCTGCTCAGTATGCAAGGTATGGTCGAATGCGGCGGTCGATCCCGATTTGTGGAAGAAAATGAATTGCTCCGAGCACAAGATGTCAGCATCACTTTTGACTGCGATTGTGCGCAGGCAGCCGGAGCATTTGATTTTGGACTGGACGCAGATCGCCAAGAGGCAGTTGGCGTGGCTGGTGGCACGCCTACCGGCGCTCAAGAATCTTTCGCTGCAAAACTGCCCCATCCAGGCAGTGTTGGCACTGCACACCTGCCTTTGTCCACCGCTCCAAACTCTGGATCTCAGCTTTGTGAGGGGATTGAATGATGCTGCCATAAGGGACATCCTTTCGCCTCCGAAGGATTCGCGACCTGGCTTAAGTGACTCGAAGACGCGGCTCAGGGATCTCAAAGTAATGAAGCTGGCGGGAACAGATATCTCCGATGTGGCTGTGCGCTATATCACCCAGTCGTTACCTTATCTACGGCACCTGGACCTTTCCTCCTGCCAACGTATCACGGATGCGGGCGTGGCACAAATAGGAACCTCCACCACAGCCATCGCCCGTCTCACGGAGCTTAATCTGAGCGCCTGCAGGCTCGTATCTGAGAACGCTCTGGAGCACCTGGCCAAGTGCGAAGGTCTCATCTGGCTGGACCTGCGCCATGTGCCCCAAGTGAGCACCCAGTCGGTGATTCGCTTCGCCAGCAACTCCAAGCATGATCTGTGCGTCAGAGACATCAAGCTGGTGGAGCGACGGAGGAGGAACTCGACGACAGCAGCCAGAAGCTGGCACCACGACTGAGCTACAGGCAGCTGGAGGAGGCCCAATCAATCTTAATCGTATGCATTAGGACAGCACACTTTAGCACACACTAAGCCCCAATCCAGTACCATGTACCCCTAATCCCTCGCGGAATGCAAGCCAAAGAGAGTCGTCGGGCCCTTTGCATTGCGTGTGGTTATGTTCTTAAATGCTAAGCTAGTCAGGATAGGGTTCAGGTCCAGGTCTGTTTTTCCGATACTTTCTGAGAATCTCAAAACTGTCTTTTTTCAAGGAACAATCAATTTTCACGGTTTCAATATTTTTAGGTGTATTAAATCTAACCTAATAACATGTTTAGATGGGAAATTGCTGCAATATTTTCAAGATAGCTATTCAGAAATGTTATTTTCTGTTCAATCAATTCCGCCTTTGGTTCCCCGTTTCCTCAAACCACTCTCGGCAGTGTGAAGGGCTGAGCTTCGGTGTTTCCGAAGTGGAAAGATGCCTCCCCAACCGAACCCCATTTTATACAAGTAGCCCCACCATCCTCACACTCGGACTTAGCGTAGTGATTAAGAATAGCATTCCCGCGATGGTAATTACATTTAATCAGTGTCATATTTCTAAGCATGCAGGAAGCGTCACATGTTAGAGAGCAGCACTAGGTGCACCCATCCAGCTTAAGTAGATGCAGCTCGCACAGCAACTGAGAATCACAGGCGGTGCGTTTCGGGACTGTAAGAGCAATGCAAGCAAGTGATCAGACGTTTTCATTTGATTGTCGAAACCCTTTTAAACTTCCCCCACATTTGGCCTTACTCGATGCAAATTAAACCCGTGTTGCGCTAACGGTCTTGCAGTTCTGAATCGCACTGTACCAGCGCTATTGCCGCACATAGTCGATAAGTCAACCTGCCAGCTCCCTAAGGACCCAACGCCCCTAGCCCCCACTCCAGTAGCAGATAATTTAGTGATAACGTTGCTAAAAAATATTTGAGAGTACGTAAGATTAATACAAGTACGAGCATACTTATATTTAATGTTTTACAAAATTACATTGCAAATATAGAATAATGTTTCAAGAATTTCTAGTACTTAGCGGATTTGTAATCGGGCTCATCGCCGCCACCTCCGCCGCCTCCACCACCGTCCTTGGGCAGTTTTCGCTTTTGAATGATTGTCTAAATGGTAAAGGCGGACAAATACTTAGTTTTGATCAGCATGAAATCATTAGCCGTATATGCATACCTGAATCTTCTGCCACTCCCTATCCAGCTCGGCCTTCTCGTTCTTCTCCGTCTTGTTCTTGCGCGTCTTGCGGCCATCCTGCATCTTGACGCCATACTGGAAGGCGGCCTTGGGCAGCGCCTCCTTCGTGCTCATGTAGTCGGAGTACTCCTCCTGTGTGTCAAAGTCCCAGCGTCCAATGGGTCCCTTCTTATTGCCCAAGTCCATCTTGGTGTAATCCACCTCGTCGTCTGAATCGTCGATGGCGTCGTTCATCTCCTCGAGTCCGGGATAGCATTCTGCGTATCCCTCGGGTTCGGCGAACCGTGCGGCCATGGCCTTCGATATCTTGGGGGGCGGGGGAATACTGGATATTATCGGCTCCTCCGATGCCTCCGGCGGGCCGTCACCAAAGTAAGAGGGGGCTGGTTTTCCTTGCTCTTGGCGGTTTCGCTCCGATCGCGTGGCGCTGGGTTGATAGTCCCCGATATCGTCGTAGATATTGTCGCCCAATGGGACTGATTTTCCTTCCTTGTTCGATGAGGACGAGGTGGCGTGCCGACTGGAGCCACCATTGCCGGACGATCCGCGTATGCTTTCCACCTCCTTTTCGTAGAAGAGCGGTTTGTCCTTATCGCGCTTTTTGTTTTTCTTGTTGCGACCGCCGGCACGTAGATAGCTCAGAATTTGGGACAGCTTGTTGATCACAATGTCATTGGTGGTCAGCGTGGCCACATCCTCCTGTGACACCGGCACCTCGAACTTGGAGCGCTTCAGAGTGGTTGGAATATCCGATTCACCTAGCTCGTCATCCAGATCGATTACATAAGCCATCCGTCCTGGAGCAAACAGCTCATTGCGGGGAACTTCTTTCGAACGCCTTGCCTGTACTAGATTGTAGATATTGCGAGCAAGTGCACCATTGATGGCATTAATATCCTCCGACTCGCGGCGCTCCGCTTCCAATTGTTCGGCGGCGGCAGCAGCTTCTGCGAGCTTTTCCCTGGCCACGGCGGCGGCAATCTCCTCCTCCTCCGCCTCCTTGGAGTGCAGCTCCGAGCGCACTTTCTGCAGAAGGGCGTAATCAAGACCCTTCACCAAATGCGTATGCTGGATGTCACCACCCAAGAACTTGGACTCCTGAATGATCCGTCTTCTTCGCTCCTGGGCATCGATTCCTGATTTCATGTCTGGTGCGACGGCTCGATACGCATTGGTGCTGCTTCCGTGTCCCGGTGTGCTCACGTTCACGTAATCCGGGTTGGCGCCATCACGTCGTTCTCGTGCTCGGTCCCTGTACTTCTCGGACAGCTCTTGCAGCTTCACATCCTCTTGCTTCTTGAGCGCCGCATAGAAGTTCTTTTTCTTGCGCCGCAGATCATTCCGCTCGCTGCTGCTCTGACCCTTTTTCTTCTCACCACTCAATCCTGTCGTGCCGGGGGCGGTGGAGGGCGTGGCGAAGGTAGCCGTGGCCAGAGATCCTCCAGCGGAGGTGCTGCTCGTCCCTGAGCCAGGAGGCGGAGCTCGGGGCGTGGCAAGCAGCTTGCGGAAGTCATCGTTGGTCAGACGCACCGAGGGCGGTGCTTCCAAGTGGGCATCCGACATGGTTAAGAAATTTCGAAGGAAACTCGCGGAGAAAATCTATATTTACAAACGGTGCTTCTTCTTCGTTTTCCTTGCCAGGGTTGTCAGTATAGCGGAGAATTGCATGTTTTCGATTTTTGTCCCAACTGTAATCGATAACATGCTTACAGGGATGGAAGATTAGCGACTTTTTCGTGTAATCACGCTAGTTTTCATAAATCAAATACATTAAAACAAAAATGTTAAACATGCAAGAAACCAAACCAAATTACAAAGTTGAGCTCGGTTTATTATTTAAAATGCAATAATGGTTACTGAAGGAATGTATTGGCAATGCTAGCTGCTTTTAACAAAACCCTTATAGCTAAATTTAACTCAAGTACATAAATGTATATTCAAAAATCGATTACACGTTTTGCATCACTGTTTCCTATAATGTGCCATTATTATTGTTAAACTAAAAATGCAGCAATTTCTAAAAGGTCTACCCAAAGTAGAGCTCCATGCTCACCTCAACGGTTCCTTGGGCATCAAGAGCCTGTGTGATCTTGGCGAGCGATTGTATGGATCCACCTCGGAAGAGTTCCTAAAGTTGTGCGCGCGCTTCAGCCGATTTGAAAAGGAAATGGACATGAATGCATGCTTCGAGAAGTTTGCCTTTGTGCACGAGTTGACCTCCACGCCAGAGGGTCTGCGGTTTGCCACGGAGCTGGCCATTCGGGACTTCGCCCAGGATAACGTGCAGTATGTGGAGCTGAGAACCACTCCAAAGGCGAACGCAAACTATTCACGCAGGGATTACTTGCAGATCGTGATCGATGCAATCAGGCGAGCGAAGGAAACGTATCCAGCAATAACAGTCAAACTACTGCCCTCCATCAATCGGGCGGAACCAGTTGCAGTGGCCGAGGAAACAGCTTCCCTGGCTGTGGAGTTGGCCCAGGCTCATCCAAATCTTATCTTAGGCATCGATCTAAGCGGTAATCCGGGCAAGGGACGCTTCTCCGACTTTGCTCCTATTCTTGCCCAGGCTCGAGCTAAGGGTCTGAAGCTGGTTATACACTGTGCCGAGATCGAGAATCCATCAGAGGTGAAGGAAATGCTGCAGTTTGGAATGTCCCGCTGTGGACATGGAACTTTTCTTACGCCCGAGGACATTGAGCAGCTTAAGCAACGGAATATAGCCATTGAATGCTGCCTCACCAGCAACGTTAAATCGGGAACAGTGCCCAGTTTGGAGGAGCACCACTTGAAAAGAATCATGGAGGCGGATGCACACAAGGTTATCTGCACAGACGACAGCGGCGTCTTCGACACCACTTTGACAAAGGAGTTTGTGATTGCTGCGGAAACCTTTGGACTAACCCGTGAGCATTGCGTCGACTTGACCTTTGAGGCAGTGAATCATTCATTCGCCAGCGAACAGGAGCGAATAGAGATGGTGGATAAGGTGGCCACCTACATGGCCATATGGTCCAAAGAAAAAAACTGAATTTAATGACGCCGTCCTAATTTAAATAAAAAGGTTTTCCTGACAAAACATACATATGTAAAATCCTTGTTATTCCTTGTTCCTACCAACCTGATCCTGATCCCTATTTGTCAGCGAAAAAGTGTGTATTACCTTTTAATATCATTCTTTTTATTCAATATGTAGAAGTATTTAGTTACAAGTTTGTTCATTAGTTATGTTCATCCTTCGTACGTACATATGTGGCTAATAAGTTTTTACGTTTTTCCCATTTAATATCATTCATAATTGAATTCAAGTTTTCCTTTTATTATTTTATGTTCTTGTTTCTGCCTTTCTGTGTGGCTTAGTTGGGGCTTAGGCATTCAAAATACAATGGAGTACAAGCTTTGGTCAATAGCGGGCTCTTAAACTGCGCCAAGTGAAGTGGACGATCGAAATGTAAAGAAACCAAAGTAAGATTTAGAAGATCAAATCTTTAGTTTGATACCACAGTTTGAAATAAACTTTTGGGTAAAGTCATCTATATAGTAGGACCCTCCACTTACCCAAGACAGCAGATTAGATTTCAGTTGAAGTGGTTTGCCTGCCTGGTATTCCCTATATACAGTTTATCTATATTTTATACTTTTAGTTTGGTTTCTGCTTACTGCTGTGTTTCTACATGATTTTTACTACTGTATCCAGTTCATTCCTTGTGTCGTGCTTTAAGGAACGACCAACTTAGGAGTTCATTTATATTGTATAGAAGTGAACCCCAACTAGAGAGTTCAATTACAGATCTATATATTTATATGAGGGTTTACATTTCTACAATTTGGAAAAATTCTACTAGTTGAAAATGGTATGGTATGGATTTTGCTGTTGTATTCGACTTTATTTAGGAGTTTGGGCATAAGGTTTTGGTATTCTTGCTTTTAAGTATGTATAATTTTGTTAAAATGTACGGCCTGGTAAAAGTTTAGCTTGCCAAGGCTTATAAAAAAATATGTCTTGTTACTGGCTCATTATAAAAGTCGACCATTTTTTGGGTAATATCATATAGACAGCTAGCCTGCTCATATATAAAAAATGCGCCGTATAAAATGCCTCGAACTTGCGCTCTCATTTGGTTGTTGTGCCATTTTCTGCGGTTTTGGAAGGGCTATAGGTTATGGTAGGTGTATATTATTTATCTATATTTATTTGCAATGTAATGCTATGCTCGTTAATTGCATGCCGTATTAATATCAATTTTGATTTCAGATTTGTAGTCATCGCAGCCTTCCATTGAAGCCAATTAGTTGAAACTATGTGTGGGTGTGTGCAATTTGGTGTTGGGAAGAGACAATTAAATCGGGTCGAATTGAGAAATGAAACGTTTTCTTTTTGCTACATAATAAACTTGTTTTATTTTTTTCACAAAGAAATTAGCATTAATCGTATTTTGTATAATAATAATAAACATAAAAATCTAATGCATAGTTAAATCAAATGCTCGAATGCAATGCTGTCCAAATTGTAGTTATATAACTTGTGCCAATCGCTCGCGGTTTACAAAACTAAAGGTTTCGCTCTGTGTTTGTAGACTTGAATTTCTCCGTGTGTTCGAGTGTGTAACTACAAAATATTCTCGTAATTAATTAATTACTGTATATTTATATTTATATGTATGTATATGCTTTAATATATATTTATATTTATATATATATATTTTATAGTTTTACTTGACGCCAGCTCGAGCACATGCCATGCGTTTTAATTTCCGCATTCCTTCCTTCCATCATTCTTCCTTTTCTTTTTACAACAAATTACAAATGGTTTATTTATGTCCTTAGCTTAGTTTACAAGGTTCTGTTGTCGAAAAAATTTTACAAATTTTTGCTTCTGCTGTATGCTTTATATTTATCTTGAAATCTTGGTTATCTATAGGGCTTTATCGTATTGGGATTTATTTTGTTTTTACACTTCAGTTTGCGAAGATTCCAAGCCAATCGCAGAGGGGTTTTCAGATTTTGCAAATTCAAAATGCCCCAGCTGTTTTTGCCTTTGGCATACAAAGAAATGCTTGCTCATTTCGCTTCTTTATACGTTTACAAGTTTACAGGGAGTTTTCGTACAGTTTAAGTTTTGTTGTTTACAGTTGTGGTTGCTTTAATATTGATCCTTTTTAAGTGGAATTTGCTTTAGGTTTTTAGTTTTCGACTTGTATACCCAAGTGTCTTACATGCGTGCAAAAAATTGTTACTGTAAAAACTGGGCGTGTGTAGAATACGCCAGCATACGTGTAAATTTCACTGTGCCACGGCACTTCTGCTACTCTACACATGTATTTTACATATACATTCTTTTTTTTAAAAACGTTTGCCTCACGTCAAGTTCAAAACTAAGTGTAGTACATAAATCTATATGCGTGTATATATGTTTAAATATTTATAGGGATTCGCTGGCTTACACTAACTACTACAGCTAAGCAGCTCGCTGTGTCCTTTGTGTCTGTGTGGTTGTTTGGATGTGTAGGTGTTCGTGTGAGTGTGTGTGGGTGTCCTGTGTATTTTACACGTCAAATGTACACGGCGTGTAGCAATGTTCTTTAGCCTACAGAAAGCATCTCTACTTGCATTGTTCACTCCGTATCGAATTCGAGAATCCTAAATACAATGTTCATCTATGGATTATTTAAATTAAAATTATCAGTGCATTGCGCTCTAGAGACAGGCAGTTGACAAGTTAATAACTAAAAGTACCAAACAAATAATACCGAGCCCTGCTTGCGCTGTCGCTTGAAATGCGCTCACTTGTTCAGAGACAGGATAATACGGGTGTTGCATTGCGGGGATTAGGGGTAATGGGATTAATGGTAAATGGTCAATGGTCAATGGTCAATGGTCAATGGTCAGTGGTGAATGGACAATGGCGAATGGTCAATGGGATGTTTGTGTTGGGGGAAATGTACAGAAAATTACAAAATGTTCAATGACTGGTATCCTTTGCTTGTTATATACAAAATACGACAACGACGACGGTGACGACGACAACAACAACGACACGACAACGAATTTGTGTGTACAAAAATATGCATAATACACTTTACATTGATCTCCAAAAATTGTTTTACATTGGATTTTTGTGTGTTTCGACGAAACCGACAAAAAAGTCTAAATTCGATTTTCTTACCATCTCTCGTTTTCAGTATTTTCAGTATTTTAGTATTTGGAATAAGGCGTCGCGAAGTAATCTAAATTTATATCAAAAATGTACAAAATTCTTGGTATTGTTACTTTTTACAATATTCGTTCGTATGTATACATATACAATTTTTGTTTGCAATTTACAAGTGTTTCGATGACGTTTTAAAACAATTTTATACACTTACGTGAAGGAAGGGTTAATTATTAGTATGCCGCACAGCGAATGCATTTCAAGCTTCGCAGGGAGCAACAAGCGCTTTCTGTCTAACATAACAAAGTTAACTCTCCAGCTGATTTCGCTCAGTGTGCAGTTGAGAAAGCATAGTGTCGATTTAAATCATATTTATACATATACATATATCATACATTAAGGTGGGCTAGCAAACATAAAAGTGTATCGGGCAATTTTGGAAAAAAATTGATTTATTTTGATGGTTATTGTTTTAAAATCCAATTATTATCGTTTTGGGCTTACTTGGCTAACAGGTTCTTTTAGCTGGCA